TAGAGAATAAATTACTCCCTCCTCCTTAACAACAGCCAATGCTCATCTCTCAACTCCCAGACCTGCCCATCTCATTCCTTCCCTTGTCTGTTTTACCTTTTCTGTAGGCTTGGACAAAGGGAGGCACTGACAGAGATGATTTTGGAAGAGAGAAAGACATTAGTTCTTGGGCCCTTCCCAATTTAGATCACTATAGCTGGCCCGTGTACATAAATGCCTGTTTCTAGGCTCTGAAGATGTATTTTCTTTCCCATGCCTCATCAGAGGCTCCCAATGTTTCCCCATCCTCTGCCTACCCACTCAGTACAGGAAGGTTCCAAGGCCTCTGGCCACCCTCCCCCCCCCCCCCCCCCCCCCGCTTAAGCCTCCCTCAGGGTACCCAGCTCTGTCCAGCTTTCCTCCTTCTCAATATGGGGGAAAACAGCTCTCTGGGACCTCCAGGAGTCTGCATACTTGGTCCTCACCCTCCATCACTCAGCATCTTTTGAAACCGCAGTCTATACCAGGCTTCTTTTGACACCTTTGTCTTGCTTCCATAGCTGGGGTGGGGGAACGTGCACACTAGCCTGATTCTTTCTCTCTCCCTAGATACCGGGGCCCTCTTTGCTCTGGAAAGATGTCCCAGCTCCAGTATTTCACCTCCTCATCATCCCCCTGTGCATGCTAAGGCTATCTCTGTCCTTGAACCCATAAGATGTTTCTAGAACCCTGTCCCAAGAATCCACCTCTCTTAGATTAGACATGCCTCAGTGCCTTCCCTGTACATCTGTCTCCCTTTGCCTAGACTTAACCACGGTCATCTCAGTTCAGCCTGCCTTACCCTCTCTTCTCTGCCTCCACTCTATCTGACCCCCTTACTCGCCCCCAAATAAAGTTCCACGCACAAATTTGTTCAATCTTCTTCCTTGCTGGTAGTTTGAAGTTTCTTATAACCCTGTGTCATTTTAGCCCACACTGGCCTGAAGAATGGAAGAAACGATAAATCAGCGAAGGTGAGGGGCTTACTTAAAGTGGAGCAGCACATGTTCACTCTTAAACTGGCCCCTTCCAGGCAATCTTCCTTCGCTTCCTCCTACCAGGTCACTGCCCCTGCCCCATTCCTTACTACACGGGGCCAGATCGCATTCTTGCCACGTCTCTGCCCCTGTCTAGCTTTGTCTCCTCTGACTGACAGTGTTCGACCAGAGAGGCATGAACTAATGAACAGATGAATGAATGAATGGACGAGTGAGTGGGTGGATGGATGGATGAAGGCAAGGGCTTAGAGAACCTGGTTTGGAACCCAGCCCTCCACTCCCGCTCAAAGCGATGTTTATGCTAGGTCCCCAGGTCAGAAGAAATTGGCTCCTTGATTGATTGATTCAGGCTGGGGACTCTGACCAATGAATATGGTCCCTTAGAAGATTTTACTCTGCCAGGCTCCCACTCCCTCTCTACAATTGCACACGGGGTGGGATGGGGTGGGGTGGGGGTAGGGGAGACTGACTAGGATGGACTGACTGAAGGCAGAGCCTTCTGGTTACCCTGGCAACCGTCCCAGCAACTGTCCAAGGCCTCTGGTCAGCCTTTGCCTGGGCCTCTCTAGTCACCCAGACAACCGCTACCTCGTTCTGGTCAACCACCAACCCTTCTCCTGTCACCCTGGCAACCATCAGTGGACCCACCACCTTGGTGTCGATTCTCATCCAGCTTACAGATTTTCTTGTCCCAGACCTCCACTCTAGGCTCTGAGAGCCCCTCCTCCTGACCTGCAGGGAGGCAGGCCTTGGTTCCACTCTATAGTGTGTGTAGGCCGGGCCCTAAGGGTCCCCCGGCTCTGCAGTCTGAAAAAGTCCTTTCCTGTTCCCCCTGTTCATTCTTGCATGAACTGTCCAGCCGCCACAGGCAGCTCTTCAAAATGCAAGCCATGTACCTCCCCTGCGGGGGGGGGGGGGGGGGACATCGCTCGGCTTTCTTTGACGATCAGTCAGCTTGCAGCCCCTGATGGTCTGGGAGTGACTAGCCTGTTATTCCAATGTCCAGAGCTCATTCCCTCCTCAGACCTTCCTAGGAACTGTTTCCCATTCCTGGGAAAAGTTCATCAGGGCCTGCCTCCTCGTGTGGCTCCTCAGGGAGGCCTTATCTGAATTCTGTCACTCACTGACATAGCCTCTTAATCTCTCCCCATCTGCGAACTCCAGAATTCCATGATGGTCCATTCTATGACTCACGATCTATGCCCGGAACTGACAACAGTGGCGGGAGTCGGTATAAGCATGTCTCTGAGAATGATGGTCGTACAGGGGGCTCTGCTTAGGCAGGCTCATTTCCAAAATAGAAAGCATTTTTTCAGGTTTCCCAAGCCCTCATACTACAGGTGATATTGTTTCCAGAGGATGAGCAAAAGCCAGGGCAGTGGGGGCCCGCAGGATAGCACATCTGGTAAAGGTGCTGGCTGCAGCCTGATGTCCTGACTTAATCCCTGGGACCCACACAGTAGAAGAGGAGGAACTTTTGCAAGCTGACTTCTGACTTCCTCAACAAGCATTGTAGCTCTAGCACCACACACACAATAAATAAATGTAATTTTAAAAACAAGAAGGCAGGCAGGTAGGATGGTTGGGTGGGCAAAGATGCCTGATCACCAAGCCTGATGATCTGCATTCTGGTCCCAGGACCCACCTAGCGGACAGAAATAACCAACTCCTGCAAGATGTCCTCTGACATCCCATGTACACGCAGGCGCGCGCGCGCACACACACACACACAAATGCACATGAAATAAAGAAATAAAATGCAATTTTAAAAAAGAGAGAGTGGGGCACACGCCTTTGATTCCAGTCCTTAGGAGGCAGTAACAGGTAGATCTCTGTGGGTTTGAGGCCAGCTAGGGCTATACGGCGAGATCCTGTCTCAAAATAAATAAATAAAAATTAAAAACAACAACAACATAATAAACAGCTAGACATGGTACTATACGCCTTTAATCCAAGTACTAGTGAGCCAGGAGCAACTGATTTCTGTGAGTTCCCAATCAGCCTGGTCTACATAGCAAATTCTAGGTTATACAGTGAGACCCTGTCTCTAAATAAATAGTCAGCTAATTAATTAATTATAAAAGATTAAGTAATAGAAATAATATTATGATTATTATGACCACCCTGGAGCCGGTGGCCCACCTCCACACTTGGTCTATAATTATTTTATTTTTCTAAGACTGGGTTTTGTTCTGTAGCCTAAGCTGGTTTCAGGCTCACTCTGAAGCTCGGGTTGGCCTCGAACCTATGATCATTTTCCACAGCCTCCACTGTACTGAGATTATAGGCTTGCACCACCCACCATGCCTGACCTTCACCCTCCATTTGTAACCCCATCATTTGGGGGCTGGGTCCACAGGCCTATAGACACTCAGCAGAATTTTGGCCAAGTCATATATGAGGGCATACACCTGTAACCCCAGTACTCAGGAGGCTTTGGGGAAAAAAAATCTCCAGCTCAACACTGGCCTCAGCTATGAATAACAAAAAATGGCAGTTTGGAAGAGAAGATAATAAGAGCTGGAGGCCTCAGATCCCAGATGGATCCCAGATGAAATATATATATTTAGTATAGTGTGCGTGTCTGGGGGGGGGGCGGGGAGAGTCAGGTCTGACCTTCCGTCGTGTGAGCCTCGGGGACTGAGGTCATCAGGTCATCAGGCCTAGTGGCAAGCACCATCACGTGCTCCCAGATGGCCACGCAGTGAGCTGGGGACTTCTTGTGCCAAGTCTAGCATCCCAGGCTTTCTAACAGAGCCCAGAGATACTTCCCTGAGGATCTGAGACAGGATGAGAAGAGAGCCTGCCTTGAATTTGGTCATGATGGTGAGGGGATCATTGGGAGCTGCCCTGGGTTAGCTGGAAAGCAGTGGGAGCACTCACCTGTTCTCCTACGAGGATTCATTCTTGGTGAGGTGATTAGAAGCCAGCAGGGAGGCACCTTACTCTTTGTTGTTCTTATTTATTTGTTTATTTTTTGAGAAAATGAGCTAAAAGTTGTATTTATTTTTTCCTCCATTTAAATCCTTCCATGACATCCTTGGCCTGAGAGTCTTTGCCATAGCCCTTAACCACCACACAACTGCAACCAACCACTGTACCTGGCTTCCCCTCCTCCTCAGTCTCGAGGCCTACCCATTCCCCTGGTTTCTTGTTGTCACCAACCGTGATTACGTTGATTTGGTGGCCAGCACAAAGCGTCTCCACCAGCTGCCCAGTGCACAACCACATGCATTCAACATTCAGTTGAAGTCAGACCATCAGGCTTGGTGGCAAGTGTCCTCATCTACTGGACATCTTTCTTAAAGCGGTGATAGCATCACTGAAAGAGTCTGATACAACGTTCTGTGCTTAGGTGATATGGCACTTAAAACACAGTTGTTGTGACCAAGGCACTGTATTTTTAAAATACGGTGTATTTCTTGCTGGGCAGCAGTGGCGCACGCCTTTAATCCCAGCGCTCAGGAGGCAGAGGCAGGTGGGTGTCTGTGAGTTCGAGGCCAGCCTGGTCTACAGAGTGAGTTCTAGGACAGTGGAGGCTTCACAGAGAAACCCTGTCCTGAAAATTTTTTTTTTCTTCATTGAATTTTTTTTATGTGTATGAGTGTTTGGCTTGAATGTATGTATGCACCATGTGCATGTCTGTGGCTCAGGGATGCCAGAAGAGGGTATCAGCTCCCTAGGACATGCCTTTACAGATGGTTGTGAAACCCCATATGACTGCTAAGAACTGAACTCATATCCTCCACAAGATCAACAAATACTCTTACCCCCTAAGTCACCTTCCCAGAGACACTGTATTTTTCATAGCAAATGAAACTTCATTTTTGCTAATTAACATTTAAATTGAAGTATCCCTGTACGTTAGGAAGAAACTGGATACAGCCAGTGGTGATGGTGCATGCCTTTAATCCCAGCACTCCAGAGGCAGAGGCAGGTAAATGTTTGAGTTCAAGATCAACCTGCTCTACGAAGTGAGTTCCTGCACAGCCAGGGCTACACAGAGAAATTCTGTCTCCAAAAACAAAAAGAAATAAATTGCATGCACTTTGAATAAGCCCTAAGCTGCAGACTGGAGGTGGAAAACCAGATAGAAGGGTTAGAATTTGTGGTTTGTGAAGCGACTGAGGAAGGAACACTTTGGAAAGGTGAGTCCCATCAACTAACTCCATAAGGGAGAAGCATTCCTGGCTGCCAGAGTCCAAGTGGTTTCTCACACATGCAAACACCTATGCTATGTGTGAGGCAGGACACCCATAGTTGCTTTTTGTGTGCAACGCAGGAGCCATTTGCTGTGGGTGAGCTGGGAGTCCATTCTGTGCACACACTGAACAGACTCTCAGGTACACAAGGACGTGAGTATGTAATCCCACATGTATCATATATCTGTTGGGCTGGGGAGCAGGGGCTACTAGTCCAGCAGGTCTTGCAAGAAGGCCCACATGTACTGATGCATCTCCTGAGGATGGCTCTGTGGAATCCAATGTCCACTGCCTGGCAGGATGTGGCTTTCCAGCCGACCTGGCACAAAGCGACTACCAATGGCTCCCACAAGCCCCTGCTGTAAGGTGTGGTCTTTCTCCCCCCACAGCAGCAGTGTGGGCGTGGACAGTTCTTGGGGCTCCAGGGGGAAGTTCCTGTGGCCAAGATAGACAATTAGAAAGATAAATGGCTACCCTCGGTTTTTCAAGGGAGGGGGTGGCACTCTCCTGAGCTTCTCTCTTGGGTGTAGCCTTACCTGAACACGTTCCTATAGTAGTTGATGGGCCCAGTGAGGCCTCCAGGTTGTGAGAAGTGATAAAGGAAAGCTTCGAGTTCACAAGGGGTGAGACGCGGGATGCCCGTCTTGCGGTCGGTGAAAACGGCTTTTAGAATCTGGGTGTACACAGTAGAGTGCCGGTTTCAGTGTCCGGCCTTCTCAACCCCAATCTGCTATCCCCCATTCCTAGACCTCAGCCCTCACTGCACCTGGAAGTCGGACAAAGACAATAGCGTCTCTGGCAGCCAGGGGAGCTGGAACAGGAACATGTAGTTTGATCGGAATAACTGGCCAATGTGACGGGTTGAGTATTCTGGGAAGAATGTAAAAGATGTGAGGTCTGGGCTTGAGATAGCCCTGTGATCCTATATCCTTACGCACCCAGCTCAGGCACACAGGCGTCTAGAGCACCACTACTGCTGGTCTGTCTGTGAAGATGCTAGTCAGGTACTGCGAACACTCTGGCCAGGTACTGACCTGCCAAGCTGTCTTTACAGCTGCAGAACAGGCAAAGCTGGAGCCATGGCTCAGTGTTTAGAAGTGCTTGCTGCTTTCCCAGAGGCCCTAAGTTTATTTCCTAGTACTCATATTGGGTGGCCTGTAACTGTAGCTCCATGGAATCTAATGCCCTCTTCTGGCCTCCATGGCACACACACACACACACACACACACACACGAGAGAGAGAGAGAGAGAGAGAGAGAGAGAGAGAGAGAGAAACAGAGAAAGATAACAAAAATAACTCATTAAAAAAGAACAGGTGGTGGTAACGCACACCTTTAATCCCAGCACTCAGGAGGCAAAACCAGGTGAATCTCTGAGTTCAAGGCCAGCCTGGTCTACAGCACAAGTTCCAGGACAGTCAGGGCTATGCAGAAAACCCTGCCTCGAAAAAGCAAAAACAAACCAAGAAACAAAAAAGAATGGAGTGCCTCCCTCTGCAGCTCCTGAGTGCCCACAGAGATACCTGCAGGCTTCCCCTGCTTAGGCCTGGACACCTGCTTCACCCAGTAAACATTTATTGAGCACCTACTGCATACCAGGCTCCTGCAGAAAGGGGTAGAAGGAGACAGATACCCAACACAGTAAAGATTACAGTGCTATTTCAGGTAAGGTATGGGGTGTAGTTCAGTGTAGAGTAGTATGTGATTAGCAATCTTGATGTGCTAGATTCTGTTACCTCCCCTTCCCCCCCACACCATCTAACCAATAAAGGCCAAGTGACAAAAGACATTAGGTGGCCAGAGAGGGCACCTGATTCTGTTGTGGTATGGTTGATGAGTTGCCTGTGTCTCTGCTGTCAAAAGAAAGACATCAGTGCTGGGTGTAGAGGCACAGGCATTGAGTCCAGCATTTAGGAGGCAGAGGCAAATGTCTCTCTATGAGTCTGAGACCAGTCTGGCTCATAGCAAGCTCCATGCCGGCTAAGCATAGTGTGACTCCTTTCTCAGAAAAAAAGAGAGAAGGGGGTTGAAGAGACAATATCGTTGCCTTTGCCTCAGTTTCCCTCTGCTGGAACATGAAGCTAATAGCACTTTTGTAAGCTCAAGAGCCTTGTAAAGTGACACCTGCAAGTTTATCATAGGCAACTGGCAGGCAGGGGTTGACCACCCTCATCCCCCAATTTTTTTCTTTTTTGTTTTTTTGAGACTGGGTATTTTTGTATACCCTTGGAACTAGCTCCATAGACCAGGCTGGCCTCGAACTCACAGAGATCTGCCTGCCTCTGCCTCCCGAGTGCTGGGATTAAAGGTGTGCACTTGGATTCTTTGAACAGCAAGTGCTCTTCACTACTGAGCTCTCTTTCCAGCCCCGGCCCCCGCCAGTAATAGGTGTATGTTAGTATAGCCAGCTCCACAAACTTCCTTCATTTACAAAATTGCTAAAATTATTGTGTTAATTACTTTCAGTTTATGTGTAGAAAGTGTACAAGAAGATTGAATTAATTTCATGCTTAGATTTAGGCTCTAGCAACAAGTTATCTTTTCATATGCGTAAATACTGTAAAATAAAACAAAATGCAAAATCAGAAACACTCCTGACTGGGGCCTTCTCTCCCTCCTCTCTCTCTCTTTCCCTCCCTTCTTCTCTCTCTTTCAAAACGTTGGAGATTACATCCAGGCCCTCTAATATACTAAACAAATGTCCATATACTCCAGCCATAGTCTAAATAAAGCATTTTGTTAGACTCACCTCCAACCTGGAAGTGCTCAAGAAAAAAGGTGGGTTGTTCCTAAGGGTACTCTCATTGATTTCGATCCCTGACATGGTGATAGGTCCCAGATACGTACCCTGGCATTGAGGCATATCCCAACACTCCCAACGCACCTTGGAACACCGACATAGGAGGTCCACTAACCACAACCATCCGCTCCACTAGAGACGGGAAGTAGATGGAGAAATTCCAGGCAAGGACAGCCCCCCAGTCATGGCTCACAAGGATGCACTTGGAGTACCCTGAGGGAGTGGAGGGCACAGACACGACGGTGTAATGTGTAGTAGGGGTGAGGCAGACTTATGGGAGTGGGTCCCAAAAGGGGCAAAGATGAGGAGACAAGGGGAGGGGAGAGGTATGAGTTGGGCACTGACTCATACCCAGGCCTAGAATGACATCCTTGATATCAGCCAACAGCAGGTCAATAGTATAACAATCCACATCCTTTGGAGCGTCAGAGGGGCCATAACCACGTAGGTCGACAGCTACCACATGGAAACAGCTCTGAAACTCCCGAAGCTGGTGGCGCCAGGAGAACCTGCCCGGTGAGGGAGTTTGGAGTTGAGTCAGCCGCCTGCAGGATGTACCTCCTATACCTGGCAGATACCTTGAGCCACCCCACATTTCTGCTCTGGACTTCTTAGAAAGGAAATGGGGGAATCCCAGGCAGAGAGGCCCAAGGCCACCTCCCCTTCAGCAACCCTCTTGTTCAATCTCTTCAGAGGGATAACCAGCCCCTCCTGGGCCAGCATCTAGATCCCTTTGCACCCCATGTGGACTCATATGCTCTGCACCCCTATGGCTACTGAACCCCGTTGGTTCCCATTTCCTAAGTAAACCGTGGTCAGAACTCTACCCAGTCCAGGGAGCACCAGAACCCAGGGACCCAGACGTACCAGTTCTCTGGGAAGCCATGCAGAAACAGCATGAGGGGCCCGTTTCCACGACCAGCAGAGACATAGTGAAGCCGCAGACCGGAACTCTGCAGGAGAGCCCAATCTAAGTAAGAACTGAGGAAGATAAGGGAGCTTCCTTCCTAGATGAGCCCCGAGATCGATTTGGATTCGACGTTTCAACCCCCTTTCTTCATTCTGCATCCACCCCACGAAACCTGCCTCCATGAGGCACTCACCCTAAGGGTCAGAAAGCAGTGCTGGCCCAGCGTGGGGTCTCTTAGGCAGTCCGGCGCAGACAACCGCTGGCGGCCGCGACAGCCCCTGCGGGGGTGGCACAGTACGTTGGTGAGCGCGATGCAGCTGTAGACGACCGCGGCCACCAAGGCAGCCAAATACACCAGGCTCATCACTAAAGCTCGCAGCAACTTCAGCGAGAGGCGTGAGGGTGCCAACAGCGCCGTCACCACAAACTCCGGCATATCTTCGCGCTCGGGGACGACGACAGAGTCCTGGACGGAAGACTGAGCCGGGGGTGCTGGCCCCGGGGGCCCACCGCCTTTGTTTTGGGATCCCACTGTGCTGTCTGGCGCTGCGGGACCCGCTGAGGAAGCAGGTGACCCGCTGGGGCAAAGACTGCCACCGCACATGACTCACTCCGAAGTGGCAGGTGAACTACCTGGGCCGGATGAGACACTTAAGGATGAGGGGGTGGAGCCTAAGAGGACCTGGTTTCTGTGGTTGGGGAGGAACTTGGGGAGAGAGAGGGACCGTGGGCGGCGCCCTGGGACATCTTGAATGGAACAGGGGATTAAAATGATTCCCGTAGCAGGCGGCAGTGTCGCAGTGTCCAGAGCCTGGAGATGATTCACAGGTAAGGGCCACCCAAGTTTGATCCCAGGGAACCACACAGTGGAAGGAGAGACCTGACCCTCACAACTTGTCCTCTGTTCACCCTCATGCTGCAGCACGTGCACCCCTCGGTGCTTTAATCTCAGCTCTCGGGAAGCAGAAACAGACAGATCTCTGAGTTCGAGGGCAGCCGCTTCACTTAGCAACTTCTAGACCGGTCAGGGCTACATTAAAAAGCAAACGAACAACAAACAAACAAAACCAGGAACTGGCAAGACTCTAAAGAAAGGAGAGGTGAAGCCTGGAGGAACAGAGGCAAGCGCCCTGTGGGGTGGGTGGAGCCTTGAGCGAAGGGAGGAAGCACGTCCAGGGTAGGTAGACCCAATTTAGTCCCGACGCCCCGCAAGGGTGAAGGGCGTGGTTTATGAAGGTGGAGGAGGAATTACGCGGAGTCTGTATGATGAGAAAGACGGAGGCTGGGCTTGATGGCTTGGGTAAAGGCCAGACCCAAGAACTGAAATTTGTTCTGGAGCTGGAAAGGGGCCGGAAACATGAGTGTGGAACAAATCCAGAAGCGGAAGGCCTGACAACGTTATATAGCTGGGAGTAGTAGGCAGGTGTGGGCAGGAGTCGTCTCCCCGTGTACTTTCCAATACATTCCAAGCGAGAGGGCGAGTCATTCCCTTTACCTGGTCTGAATGTACCCACCAGTGCTTTACCTGGTTCCAACCCCGCCGTGTCCTCTTCTTTCGTTGGCTTAGAAAGTCCGTCGATCTACACGACTGTGATTGGATAGCAGTGGCCATTGATTTCTAAACGACAGGTGGGGCCTAGGTGTTAAACAGCGGGTGTTGAGGCGCAGACTCTGTAGGTGGCAGACAACCGTGGGCAGACCCTGCCTCCAGGAGAACTGGAAGCTGGAGCTAGCCTGGGCAGATTGGGTCACTGGGGCTCTGCTTCAAAGAGGAAGCAGGGCAGTACCCGGTATGAGTCGTATCTATCAAGAGGCTAGCTTCTTTTGCAACCTTTCTCAAGATCCTTGACTATTTTAGGAACACCCATTATTTAACCCTTATAGAAACCCTGGTACTTTAGGTAGCATTATCATAGTCTCACATTAGATTACGAACCTGAAATTCGGGGATGAGGTCATTTTGCCTGGAGTCGTATATCTGGCTTAGCAGCAACCTAGGACAACACAGAAGCAGCAATCTGTGCTTCATTCAACACTGAGGCCACTGACAAGATTTCAGATTTCTTCTGGTCGTTAGTTATCAGAGAAATACTGGTTATTTAGAAAGATGCACTTCCGTAGCTGCTTCTGTTACTGTGGTACTAGCAACAGAGTCCAGAGCTTTTGCTCGTGCAGGGTAAGCACTTCAGCAGGGAGCTTCACCCTTAGCCTTAAAAAACTTGATTGCTGGCCAGACGGTGGTGGCACGTGCCTTTAACCCTAGCACTCAGGAGGCAGAGGCAGGCAGATCTCTGTGAGTTCAAGGCCAGCCTGGTCTACAAGAGCTAGTTCCAGGTCAGGCACCAAAAATTACAGAGAAACCCTGTTTCGAAAATCAATCAATCAAACAAACAAACAAAAAACCAAAAAACTTGATTGCTATTACTCAGTAGTTTAAAAAAAATTGCAGGCATGAAATTTGTAGGCAAATGAATGGAACCAGGAAAAAAAATCACCTTGAGCTAACCCAGACTTAGAAAGATAAATATGGTATGAATTCATTTAAATGTGGGAATGAATCATTAAATAAATGATAACCAGCCTACAATCTGTAGACCCAGAAAGGTTAGGTACAGAGAAAGGAACTAGGGGGAAACATGGATCTCCCTGCGAGGGATTTTAGAATAGGTTTCATGTGGGGCTATGTGGGGATTGGAACAGGAGGATCAGGTGGGGGAGGGGAAACAGGGTTGAGAGGAAATGGGGGATAGCTGGAATTGGGCATTTAAGGGATGGTATGGAAACCTAGTGCAGTGAAAACACCCTAAAATATAAGGTGATTCTAATGAGGTCTCCTAAAAATAGGGGATACGAAATCCCAGCTGGCCATCTCTTGTCACCAATGGGGGTTCCAGTATTGGGGGTCCTATGGGAATCCCCAATCCAGGCTGTTGCTAAAACAACTCACTGAACATGGAGAAACGAAGGTGGTGCTCGCAAGGAGCCTTCACCCCTATATTCTAGTCTTTGGCGTGGGAAGGTACTCTGCAGGCTATCAATGCCTTATTCAGTTATCATCAGAGAAGCTTCCTCCTGCAGCTCATGGAGCAGATGCATGACAGAATCCTTGGAACATACAGCTCTAAAGGGGAGGTCTCTATCAAATCCCTCCTCTGAGCTCAGGGAACCCCTTCCTCAGGGGTTCCTCTGTGGAAAGGAGTCAGAGGGGATGGAGGACACCAGGAGAACAAGGCTCTCATTTGAACTCAGAGACTGATGCAGGAAGCATAGGACCTGCATAAGTCTGCCCAGGTTTTCCAGGTATATAGCTTTCAGCTTAGTATTTTTATGGGACTTCTGAGTGTGTGAACAATTTTTTTTTCTTGTTCGTTTGTTTTTTTGAGTCTGCGTAGCCCTCACTGTCCCAGAACTTCCTTTGTAGATCAGGCTGGCCTTGAACTAAGAGATTCCTCTGCCTCTGCCTCACAAGTGCTGGGATTAAGGCCATGTGCCACCACAGCCCCAGCTGGGTCTCTGATTTGTTTGTTTTTTTGAGACAGGGTTTCCTTGTGTAACAGTCCTAGCTGTCCTGGAACTAGCTCTTGTAGATCAGGCTGTCCTCGAATTCATAGGGATTCACCTGCCTCTGCCTCCCAAGTGCTAGGCTTAAAGGCATGCACCACCATCGCCAGGCCAGGGTTTCCGATTCTTATGCCTGCTCTTGGGGCTTTTTCCTTCTGCTAGGTTGCCTTGTCTAACCTCAGTTTTTTAGAAATTTGTTCTTTTCTAATGAGAGACAGAAAGGAAGTGGATCCAGGAGAGGGGAGATGGGGCAAAACTAGTAGAGGAAGGGAAAATTATAATCGGAATTATCCACCCCCCTTTACTGAAAAAGAATATATTTTCAATAAAGGGGGGAATTACTATTTATTATTTTTTGTTTCTAGACTGACTCTTGCAATTATGTATTTTAGGGTGGCTTACAATCGCCTCCTCTTCTGGCTTTATGAGATTATAAGGCATAAACGATCTGTACCCAAATTTTTGAGAAAAGTCCCCCCCCCCCGAGTGTTTCTGTGTAGCTTTGGAGCCTGTCCTGGAACTCACTCTGTAGCCTCAAATTCACAAAGATCTGCCTGCCTCTACCTCCAGAGTGTGCCACCACTGCCCAGAGAGACAAGATCTTATAATCCTCTTGTGCTTTAGCCTCCTGAGAGGCCACAGATGCCTAAGTGACTAGTTCTTAGGGGACAGGGTCCTATAGACCCTAGAGCTGGTTTCAATTTAGAGAATGACCAGGAACTTCTGATCCTCCCTGCTTGTTCCTGAGTGTTACAATTACAGGGATGCACCTCTGGCTTGTGTGATGCTGCAACTGAACCTAGAACCTCTTTCATATATAAGATATGCTAGGCAAGCATGCTACCAGCTGGGCCACACTCCCTTCTAAGTGGCTAGTTATACATTTACCATCTTGGAGCATTGTCTATCAAGTCACTTTTTCATTTTCTGTTTTTTCGAGACAGGGTTTCTCTGTAGCTTTGGGGCCTGTCCTGGAACTAGTTCTTGTAGACCTGGCTGGCCCTGAACTCACGGTGAGCTGCCTCTCCTGGCATTAAAGGCGTGTACCACAACCGCCCAGCTTATCAAGTCACTCTCAGCATTTAGTGGACGAGGCTCCTCACTTTTTTATACTTCTCACTGTTACACGCTTTATCAAACAGGACTCTAAACAGTATTATTTATCCTACCCAAGGATGATTAAACCCGTGGCAAACGGCCATAAATTGTTTGGCCTCAGTAAACAATGCACTTGAGCAGAATTACACGTCTTTATTGTTCTTAGACTTTACTATCCTTTCTTTTCTCGCATGATTAACTAGTATTGTTTTTTAAGAGAGGGGGAACAGGCTGGCCACCTATCACATTTTTCCTGCCTCCACCACTCCTGAGTGTTGCAATTTAAGTGTGAACACCACCACACCTGGCTAACTTTGGTTTCTTTAATACTCCATAAAATCAATTATCTCTCATAAGTGTTCCCAGGATCTCTCTTGAGCATCTGACTTGGCTCTTTGGCTGATAGGCATCTGAGAACTTCCCTTCATTGAACTCCATACTATACAATCTTGTCTCTAAACCCCAATTCACCTCCATTTTCCAATTCTACACTCAAAAAGACATCAGTAATCACAGGAGGGTAACTTTATATTCAGTACAAATGTTTATTTTTGCAATGAGAACTGCACAAAAAAAAACCCTTTAGTATATAAGTGAAAAGTCTACGAATTCCCTTCTACAAATGTCTAAAGTATTTTAATACAAGATTCACTGACATAATTATTGGCCAAGCAACCCGTGCATACAGTACATTAGGGGCTTGTACACACCTCTTATTCTTGTATAGGGCTAAAACTGTAAGAAGGATTTGAAAATGGTCAGAAATTAAATAGATCCCAGTTCTAATTACAACCCAGTTAGAGGAACACCTATCAGGAAGGTGTGGAGGTCATGTAAAACTTGAGCAAGAACGTACAGATAAATCATTTTCCCCAGCTCAAAAGTGGGGCCCAGCATGGGGAAATCATCTCAACGAGAGAAAACATGAGTGGGATGTGGTAGAAA